TTATAACAAATGGCAGGCTTTATGATAGTTATCATTAGCCCTTTAGTTGACTTCAGGCTTCGCAGAGGGAGAGGAACATCAAATCGAAAAAGTCGAGAGGGGGGAACAGAAGAGTGTTTTAAAGATGTAAAAGAGACAGACACAAAGTTGGATGAAAGGTGAGGTGAGTACTGTGGAGTGGTCAAAAATGGCATACAGTGGGGTCATGATAGCTTGAACTCAGAAGTCAACTGCCGGTTAATAGAATTTTTTTCCGCATGATTATACGTTGCCCAGGGTGCACCACGTAGAGGTAGGTCTATCGCACACCCCAGGAACTAGTTAAAAACTATTAACAGTTAGACAAAGTAGATACGCAAACTAGCATGCACAAAGACAGCACTTTGACACTCAAAGAGGATGGAAGCGAATGATTAGAAAGTGATGGATTTGTTAGGAGTGAAAATAAATAATGAAAATATGACTTAAACATACATTAATTTCTCGACTTTATGCATTTTCTTTTGTAATTTCCCATTAGTTCAGTCCAGTTATTTTGCCGCATCCGAAATTGAGCCTTGGAGTAGGTGGTATTGGCACATAAATACTAAATGGCTTTTATTCTAAAATTCCAGTAAGAAAATAAAGAATGCTAAAAGTATAAAAATGTGTACGTCACTAGCCCTTAGTATCAGTATGTTTCTTGAGAGATAAATAAAATAAATTTTTAACCGAATATATGTATTGATATCTAGAAGGATATTTGATTGGGAAAATGCTATTTTTTGTAATTAATCAGTAGTAAGCTAACAGTGGCCATAGGCTCTCAAACTTCACTTCTCACAAATTCTATTCTCTATTTTGATTCAATTACCTTATATGATTAAGAGAAAGCTTCCATTAATTCAGTCAAATTATATCGTCAGTGAAGGAGATTTTCACTCATTATTGGTGAATAGTTGCTAATTGCTTTCTAAATATTTACGTGAATTATTAATGTTAGACATAATACATTTGTTTATTTCTAAATATCACAAGTATTTCCAAAATTTTTGAATTTATTTCCGTAAAATGAATTGCTGTCCTTGCCGAGAGTACGATTTCAATTAGGTCTCTTGAGTGGCCGTATTTTTTTATCGAGTTAGTGATGCCCATTTGCCTATTACAACTGTATAATGGGAGTACATCTTATATGTTTTGTTTGTGTCGAAGAATTAGCTTCTCCTGGTGGGCCTGTTCGCCGGACTTTAAAATATAACAAATCTCGCATATCGCTAGTTATAGATGATCTATCCCAAGTGATTATTCGAATAAAACCAACAAATTCTTCTCAGAAAAGCATTGGATATAAAGTTTCTGATCCGAGGTTTTTTACAAAATTCGTCCATGAAGGCAAGTCAACAATATCTCTTCCATGTGCAAATATAATATTGAGAGACTGTCCTCAGGATACGCTTAAGTTATTTCTTAGAAACGTTAAAAGTCAGTGGATGCGTTCAAGAAATGTTAAACATAAACGTGCTGATCTATGCAAGAAGAACACTTCTCTTTCTCTCCTTGAAGAAGTCAATCCGATGAATATGAGCTCTCCTGCCCAAAAGACTCTAAGTTCTGTCAAGATGAAGACAAGTCCAAATTTCACGGTGTCACCCATTTCGGTATGTCACTAATTTTACTTTTTTATTTTTTGGGGTCAAGAAACCTAATCTCAAAACGGCGAAGAGAAAATCAGAGGTTCTGAGTTCAACACCAATTCGAGAAGGAGAGGCGACCAAGAAGCCTAGATACAACTTAAAGTCGAACACATTTTCTCATGTTTTAATGGATTGGCAAAATGAATGCGTGGATGAAAATGGCATTTCAGAGCAGAATCGGGTTATCGAGTTAGTTAAATCTGGAATTAACGTCTATTGCACTGGTGGAGCAGGTACCGGGAAATCTCACCTCCTCAGAAAACTTGTCGGTACCTTAATCTTTTTCTTTATCTGCATTGATTATTTATTGTTTATTTATGCTCTTGTGTTTGGATATTATTTGTTTCAAGAAGTTCTTAATGAGTTTAATATATATTTTTTTCATGAGTTGAGTGATATCTTAAGTCGATTCGGTCCATACTTTCTGCTGATCTGTGGAGTCGATAAGTTGGTATTTAGAAATTGCGCAGATTATTTTTACTATAGTCCCATTATATCTGCATGTTAATGCTCGATCGTTAAAGCGTATCTATTTTATAGGCGTACTCCCACCATCTGAAACCGCAGTAATGGCCACCACAGGTGTAGCGGCGTCTTTAATCGGTGGTACTACCGTTCACGCCTTCTCGGGTGTCGGCCATCTGCTCGACAGGGACGACTTGGAGGATCTCTCGCCCAATTGGTTGGAGATCACTACAAAGAGAATCGTCTCCGATCCACGTATCACGTCTCGTTGGAAAACTGTTCAGCGTATTATCATCGACGAGGTCTCCATGTTGAGCTGTCGTGCATTCACCCGACTGGAAGCTGTGGCTAGAATTGCACGGGAAAAGTGGGAGGAGAAGATCCCGTTTGGTGGGGTGCAAGTTGTGGCATTTGGTGACTTCTTCCAGCTGCCCCCGGTATCGACGCAATCTGCGATAAACATTGTAAGCTCAATAATTTTGGTCTCTATCAACTGCCCTCCATGCTAATTCTGGTTGATATTAAATGTATTTTATCTAAAAAGTCAAGATCTTATCGGGTAAATCTTTCCGGTATATTTTGGTTTTGAATGATAAATATCTTTGATTTGAACTCCAGAAGTGTCCCTCTCACTTGCCCTAGTTTTGTTTTGTTGTTTTGTCAATCATCTACTGAAATTTAAATTCCTATTTTAATAATAAAATGACTAAATAAATGGCCAGTTAATTGAAAAAAGGACAACCCCATAGGAGCAACCAACCTAAATAAATTTTTTATTTCAAAAGCGATTTGTAACAACCTTTCCCAGTTTCCCCCTGTATTACACCAAGTTCCATTTCAATTGTCCGAATGTCTATTGAGTAATTTATAACAATGATTTTATTAGCATTAACGTGTAATAGTTAGACAAAGTACGAATGCTATTTTCTTTATCAACGCTAAAACGACAAACTTGTTATTATCGCGTTTACTGGAATAATTGAATTCGATCATGGGCGTGCATCCTTTCTATTTATAAAAAAGAGGCAACTACTTAATTAAAGCTGTTTCTGTCAAAATCAGTTTACACTCTCCCCTCTCTTTCCTAGGTTAAGAAGAAATTTGCCTTCCAGTCTTCCGTGTGGCGAGCCTGCCATTTTACTTGTGTCGAATTGAAAACATCCTGGCGACAGTCAGGTGATTCCAAATTCTCAAAACTCCTCAATGAAATTCGTCTTGGACAGTCGCCTCGTTGGGTTATCGAGACTCTCAGGTCTCGCGTTTTTCCCGAGAGTAAAGATGTGGAAAATGGGAAGATTCCCTCGATCACCACACGTCTTTGCACTCATCGCCGCGATGCCGAGAAGTATAATAATGAAAAGTTGATGAGCCTTAAGGGTAGTGGTTAATTTCCGATTTCAGTATCATACTTCTTTTTCTCATAGGTGCCATAAAAGTATTTGAGGCTAGGGATATTGGACCCCAGCATTTGATTTCCGAGTCTTTCAGCAACATTCCTAGCAAAATTGAACTCAAGGTTGGCGCTCAAGTAATCAATCTACTTATATCCACTGAAGTTGATTCTCCTCGGTTCCATACATCCATTCCTCCTTATTGTTTCAGGTAATGCTTCTACGAAACCTTGACGTTACTCGCGGTCTTGTTAACGGGGCACGGGGTGTTATAGAGAGCTTTACAGCACCATCTGAAGGTGGTTTTCCAGTTGTACGGTTCTTCAATTCCAAAACTATCTCAACTTCTGTGATTATTCATCGAGAGCGTTGGACGCTAAACACATTTCAAGCTGGAGCTGGATCGAAGGAGATCCGAGTGGCTCGTCTTCAACTCCCTCTCTGTTTGGCCTGGGCTATTTCTATTCACAAGAGCCAAGGAATTACTCTTGATAGCGTTGAAGTTGATTTGACTAAAGTTGGAACCCGATTCTCATGCTAGTTTTTTATCGAATGTAGTGGTTTCTAACCGTACATTTCCGCTTCTAAATAGGTTTTTGAGCATGGTCAAGCCTACGTAGCTCTCTCTCGTTGTCAAAGTCTTGCAGGACTGCGGTTGCTGAGTTGGCGATCGGATTTTATCCGAGTGGACAGCCGAGTGATCGATTTCTATAATGAAATGAGAGCGAAATCGAAAGGACTCCTAGCTGATTTTGAGATGTGCTGTTCTTGAGGGTTTTATTTTGAATCGTTAATGTATTTATTTTTTTTAATCTTTTATCAAGTTATTTTCAAATACACTTTGAGTTTTATTATGTGAAATTTCCATACATTATTTTATCTGATTTTTCTGTCACGATTACCTGATTATGCTTAAGGAGTAAAGGATATGTAGCGCGAAAACGTCCAAGAAGACTTAATGAGAAAGAACAGGGCGAGATGTTGTTTGAAGTACTGGAAGTAATTGGGATAGTGATGATAAAATATTTTAAGAGAAGCCGGTTAATCAATATGACTGCAGGAGTTGGAGAGGACGAGATCATGCTCACGAGTAGTGCAAATCGATAGTTGGGTGTCTGGTTTGGAGTAAGGTTAACTTTGGTTACTGAAAGGGTCTTGAATTTGTTCAAGAAAAGACGACCACATATGCCTACAAAAGAGTCCGGAGGATGGATGAATGCGTAATGTTAATCGCCAAGCTATCAAAAGACAGGCTGCACTGTTCTTTGAGTGCACAATCATGTAATTTCCAAGAAAATCGAACTCGAAGTTTTATCTTAGCAAAAAGCTTGTATATATTTAATTGGGCTTTTATTATCATAAGTGTTCCCTTGCTTTTCCTCATTGTATGTAATGCATCTAAGGAAACATGGTTATGCCCTAATGTTAGGAATGATTCTGACATCAGCTAAAATGAATTTTGCGCTATTTATATAGACTAACATGCTAACAGACATCCAATGATGCTTTTGGCTCAATATCTCCTAAATTTTCTATTCATTATGATTGCATATAGTGGTTCTATTGTGGATTGCTACCTTAGTAAAGCCTGACCGACTCAGAAATCTCTATGGCAGATTCCCCAACATCTAGCTAGACTCTCACAACCAACTAAGCTGTAGCCCAGCTATAAAGGAAACAGACGTGTAGCACGGAGCACGTTTATTCAGGACGTATATTGCGGATCAAGTGAGCACGCAGGGAGCTACTCATGATCAGGATGGCGGATTAGGATAAACAAACAGGGGTTAATGATTGGTCACTGTTTGTACGGTCGCTCCACACAGTTGTATGGCGCACCTCCCAATCCTGGCGTGCAGACATGCGATGACGTATCCCACAGTTCAAATGGTAACAGAAAAAGTTGGGAAAATTATCAACTTAACGGAAGCAAAAGAATAATTTGCATCTGAATCAATATTCGAGACTTTTGAGATTATATAGGGATAAATTAGCCAGACTGCTTATTTGGTAATGGAGGCAAAGTCGAGTTGAGTTATAATAACTATTAGTAAATGCAAAGTAAAAGCTTTAGGCTGCAAA